CCGTATACATAAAAATCTCCGGACAGACACAAAAGAATGCGTCTTTAAAATGGATGATATATCTGTATACATACAGCAAAATTTCGTTAAGCAACATAGCCTATGAAAAACCATATCTGGGTGCTGACGTCTATAAGTACATATTAACATACAAAAAACTTGAAATAACATGAACTAAAAACACTTCATATGGACAAAGAACATTACCGTTGTATAATGCTATTACAAAGTACATTGAATAATGACAATTGAAACAAAGTAACGAAAAGGGAACATATACTACAAGCATGTCATCGACACCATGCCCAGCCCTTTAGGGTTGCGGTTAGGTGCGGAGCCCGGCCTTTAGTATAAGACTGTCATTCCCATTAGCACCCTGAGGCGGGGATGGCAGCCAGAGAGGCCTAGCTTGTGGCTTGGGCCTGGGGACAGGTTGGTCCCCAAAGATGAGGAGTACTTGTGCCTCATCCCATGGAATGACTTAGGGTCTCAGACAGCTAAAGAGGGAGCCAAGGGCCGGGCCACCCACTTGGAAAAGGCCCGGGCCGGGAGAATAACCGGCTATATATTTAATAATAATAATAATAATAACAACAAGCATGTGTTGAAGACATATAAACCTACACATCACATATATCACAGTACAATCTTTGTATATAGACCTTGAGGACAAAAGGAGAATCCAGGACATACTTTGATCATGCTTGTGCTCCACCTCAAAACACAAACACACAAATACTGTGAGATGTACACTCGCACCACATTATAGTGCCGACACAATATGTCCGTGCAACACACTAATTACACTATATTCAATTCCTTTCTTATAAACAATGTGAAAAAAACATATCTTGCTCAACTACCCAGACCAAACTCACTTCACAACAGAAGCTTATTTTTTTATATTTCCCAAACATACCACACACGATTACATCTATACACATTGCCATACTCAAGAAAACTAGCCCGCCGTACCCTTACTTTACACTTTAATCCTTCAACTAAATCTATGATAACCTTCAGTAATTGCTGTCTCCCATCTTCCCCCCATAAAGATCCCTATTGCGCACTTTGTTCTATACATCGTGGCCCCTATCACTCTTATCCTTTCCTGCCTCCCCCACCTCCCTCATTGCCCAAGATATATAATAAAACCAGTAACCACATTACGCAAACCGCATTCAACACTGCTGACCTCCCCACCTATATCTAAACTTACACCCGCAACACCTGTAATCATTCCCACCCACTAACCTAACTACCCTACTTAGCCAGACCCTCCATCTTCTTCTTAACAAGTTAAAAGTACACAGCGTGAAATATAGTTTCCGGACATCCACACGCTTTGCATCACACCCTCCTTAATCTCCTATTTTTTTTTTTATTATATTTTTATTTAAGGCCTCAGTATACAATCTATTATGTTGTTATATTAAAATCTTAACAAAAATCCTCAACATGGAAAAAAAACAAGCCTAACTAGGAATGAAACAGAAGAATAATGATAGAGTATGTATTTTGTTCGGGATTTTTTAAACCCGGAGGTTAGCCACCCAGGATTATTTTTACCTTTTTTTATATTTTTTTTTAATTATTTTTTTTTTTTTTTATTTTAAATCCAAGGAAAGTCAGTGCGTATCGAGGACTGTCTAACTTATTCATTGGGGTCATTAATTTTGTCCCCAGGATGCGACCCCACCAGTCGACTAAACACCAGGTGACTATTTGATGTAGAGTGAACAGGACAACAAGGTGTAAGGAAACGTGTTCGGAAATGTTTTCAAACCGCCGGGAATCGTACCCAGGGCCTCCCGTGTGTGAAGCGGGAGCTTTTGCCACCAGGCACGGGCCACCTCACCGAGCATTCCTTAACAATAAAAGATACATAACAATCTTGTTACACTTAGCATATTTTGTACAAAACTTTATATACAAAACATTAAGTATACACCAAAACATTTCTCATTCAATATTTTTTTGTATCGGCAACATATTATGTAATAGATTCTCGAAAACTAAAACCTCCTGCAATGTTTTCGAGGAGAATAAATCGTACTCCCACTCCCCATATAACCAAATACACATCATATTGTAACTTTGCATATACTAGAATATAAGGATAAATAAGAAAAAATTTCTATGATGTGTGCTCCTCCCCATCACCCACCAGGTCCACAGTATGAAACCGGTGAAAAAAATATACCTTAATCCGTGATGTGTGGTATATACATTCATACCCTCATTAACTTCCCAACAGGAAGGGTTACTGAATAGGGCAAATGTACAATGACCACTCTCGTAACACAGAACATCTAACATTGACAAAGTTAAATTACAGGAATACTGAGCCTGATGCACGCAGGCACCTCGCCCGTTACTACAGTTGTTTTAAATAGGATAGGAATCCTAACAATAGTCTCTGGGGCAACAAAACAAACCCCGCATCTTTTACAAACAAATTATTCTTCGCTCTTTAATTTCCTAAAAAATTTTAGTTTGGTCACGTCTTTGAAAAGTATCGAAAGGGACGCCTTGGGCAAAATCCACAGAATCAAGAATAATCTTACCAAAATCCTCCACCCTCACTCACAGAAGCCCCATTCAATACCGAACACACACACACACACAGACATGCTCACAGAAACACACCACACACACCACAACCTCACGCAAACAACACACACACTCAACACCACAACACATCACACACACTCAACACAACACACTCAACACAACACACTCACCACACACACTCTACACTCACACACACACACACACAACACACACACACACAAACACTACCACACACACTCAACACACACACACCACACACACCAATGGCCTTCAAACAGACAGCTTACATATGTTATGTTAACTAACATACACCACTGGACCATCACTCCATCTCTTCTCTTCACTTACTACAATCATCTCCGAAGTACCTCATCACTCACCTACGGAAGCCAAAACCCTTGCTGCCTTTCCCCGTCACCCAACTGTAGTAGTCATGCCACAGTCAGTCCCGATAACTCTCGGAAAAGAGCAACTATCTGACACAATATATGCTCATATTCTACCCACGTACCTATAAAACTCGCCCGCTAAGGCCTTGTTCTGAAATTACCCCCACCTCCTCTTTCCCACAGAAACATCAAAAAATCAACCATTATGTACCTTAACGCACCTCGCTCCCTCATTAGAACACTCTCCCACCGTCTAATAGTAAGCCGACCTAAGGACCCCACCCTTCCCCCTTCCAATATTCCAAAAACACTCCTCAACCACACCCATTTACGTTTCCAAAAAAGGACAAAAGTTACACCACATGGAAAGCATTTGCCACGTCGCCACAATGCACACATGAAGCATCACTTCACTTCCCTTCAGCCTCAACACCTGTTTGCCGCAATGTCCCCATGTGGAATATGTAGACCAATTCTACTGTCACCTGCTGGCATTCTTAGCTTTCGAATTCCTCCCATATTACCTCCAATTATATGTGGGGAAGACAGCCACCCCTTGCAGCGTCTCACGATGATACTTACTCCCTCCAGGCCTCCCTATTCGCAAATGACGCACATCTCGCCTCTTAACATTTACCTCAATTATCTCACACACCGCCAGGTCCCTTACCACTCCACCAACAACGTAAGCCCGCATTCCTCTCCCACACGCCGCCCCCCCAGACCCCCCAGCACTGTGGTATTCACCTTGACGTATATTGCCCTCAACCCTGGGCCCCAATGCCAAACAACAATCCCCCATGACGCACCCAGTCATTTACTACATCACGTCCAACCACGCCTTCCCATATACCCATCTATACCGTAATGCCCTCCTCTGTAAGTCTGTTACATCTCAGTTTCTCAAGGGATATACGCCGCTGCTCCCCGAACCTTACTGTATAACCAACGATTTCATCAATCACAAAGGCCCTTTGGTGCAACGTAACATTCTCTGGCCCGAGCCACGTAGCCTACCACTTTGCCTGTTCCCTAACTGCATCGAATGTATTTCTTTCCACTGTCTGCCTGTCTGCTGGTGTACCAAAGCCCACATATCTGAATCCGTTCTATACATTCCTTCCATACCCTCTGACCAATCTCACAGACTACACAGGTGCCACCTCTAACAAATTCGACTTGATTTGTAGTACCCTCATTCATGTTACGGCCCCCAAAATTCTCGATGACTCTACCCTAACTTGATTAAATTATCCCTTCCACTAGTATGATCGTCGTATCATCAACGTAACCCACAACCCCCCACGTCATTCCCTCGACCCCTCCCCCACAAACTCTCGGTCTACAAGCTCTTAAAAATGGGTTCTGACGCAAGAAAATAATTGCTGTGTGAAAAGTGGGGCAACCTGCCGCAAACCACTTCTCCATTCGAATCCAGAACCAAACCTACGTTCACCTGCACACGCATGATCGCCCAGCATAAATGCATCCACCACCCTACCAACCCTGGCACCAAAAAACCAAATCACACAAACTCTCACGAAAAAACACTCTGTCCACCAACAATCATACGCGTTCTCCAATCAACCCCTAGACCCCCCCTCCTCCAGCCCTCTAATGAAATCCCTTTGCGCCCCGTGTCATCCCGCATACTCCTCCCTGGAATCCCAAACTGACCTCTGTGTATAAAATTGCTCCTCGATGTACTGACTTCATTCTATCTACCTAGAATCTTTGCGATTACCTTATAGTCTGAGCACATTATGGAATTGCCCGGACCTATGGCGTTTAAAAGTGTCCATGTTCAGTACATTAGCTGTTCTTGAATCATAGAGATGACCACAGCTTATATCTGTCTGATTGAAAAGCGCAAATGAACTCTGTGTCGTCATTCTCGTTCTTAGAAGTCACTGGTTTAATCCTGCAAGTCTCCATATTTTACCAGTTCCTGATTTTAAAGTTTCTGGAAGTGCCACGTTTGAGTTTCACGTGTCTGGGATTACTGAAGGGTCAGACGATGAGGTTTCATAATGTTTTAAATGGTCTTGTTTGTTTAGGGATGCGTGGATCATTAGTTTGGCAGACACCTTGACCTCACTGCTGGCTGGCTTCACCATCTTCGCCATCCTGGGCAACTTGGCCCACGAGCTGGACACAGATGTGAAGAACGTTGTGAGGGGCGGCTCTGGCCTCGCCTTCATCTCCTACCCTGACGCTCTCGCTAAGTTCACTTGGACACCACAGGTAGGAATTAATAACCATGATGTATATCCCATAATTTTAAAGAGGTGGACCGATAAACCAGTGAATTTCAAATTCAAATTCAAAGTTTATTCTCTATTATAAGGATTACAATGAAAGGCCTCGATCAGATGACCAAAGCTCCAGCGGCAGGTCATCACATGACTAAGACCCACATCAGGAAACACTTGTCCTGTTTCCTGACGAATCTTACCGAACCTAACCTGATGTATAGCCCATACAGGTTTAATGCTTATAAAGCTAATTGTCAGTGCATTCTTTTTGGGCGGGGGAGGTGGCATTAAAATTATAAATAAGACGGCAAACCAAGCTATACCAAGGAAACAAGTGCAATAAAATATTAAAATTATCAGAGAACGACCTGGGAATCATCACTGAGAAGTCACCAGAAAATCATGAAATCACAAGAAACTCCCAAGATACACTGGCAAACATTAAAATATTTACATATATGAAACGGGAAATGTTGATACAACTGTCCTTGTGTTAAAAGAAATTCACCTGAGTAATGTGCACTCACAGTCTTGAAGCATATTAATATAGGGGAGCACTAAACCCATAGGGATTATCCAGCATTTGTGGGGATGGAATGGAAGGCTTAATTCAGGGAAATGATAGTGAAGCATAAGACTAAAGGGATCCTGAAATACCTAAGCAATGGGCTGCATCCAGGTTTGATTCCAGGAAGACGACTCATTCAATTACCTTGAACAAGAGCCCTTCACTGGCATCAAAGCATTCCTCTCTCTCTCTCTCTCTCCATATATATATATATATATATATATATAATATATTATTCAACAAGTCTGCCATCTCCCACCGAGATAGGGTGACAGAAAAAGAAAATCCCAAAAAAGAAAATAGTTTAATCATTCAACACTTTCACCTCACATAATCACTGTTTTTTGAAGAGGTGCTCAGAATACAACATCCTTGATGTTGGTGAGGGGCTCTTGATTTAGGGAATTGGATCTGTGCTCCAGTTCCCCGAATTTAAAGCCTGAATGCCTTTCCAACCCCCCCCCAGGGCGTGTAAATTTGGGGTTTTTTAGCTTTTTCCCCCTTGTTTTATAAAAATTAATAATCGGGAATAAAAACGGGTTTAGAAACTAAGAACAAAAGGAAAGGAGGTCACCCCGCGGGCCCTGTTGGCCCATATAGGCAGGCCTTTTAAATCCCCCCCCTAAAAAAAAACATTTCCCCACCCCCAATTTTTAAATTGCTTCCCCAAGTTAATCTCTGATGAAAATTAAATGGTTTTAAAAATTTCCCCAAAAGGGATTTTTAGGTAAGACAATATGAAACTTTTTAGGTATCTTTATTTCGAATTTGCCTACCGGGTTTTTTTCAGTCGATTTGCGGGAAAAGTTGATAGAAGGGGGAAGAAACTTAAAGCGATGAAATCAGTCCCCACCCTTTAAAATTTTTAGGTGGTCAGTCCCTCAGTCTGGAGAAGAGCTTTGTTCCTTTTTGTTTTTGAAAAATATGAATTGAAGTGACAGAATGGGGCTTTTTATGTCCCCGGAGGTGGGGGAGTAGGGCTTTGGGAGGGAAAGGCCCTTCCCAAAAACCCAAAAGCCTTTTCTCACTAGTAGGGTTTTTAAAGTAGTTTGGTCGTCCCAAAGATCCCCTTGTTTTGGGCAGTGTCTGACAGAATGAACATTAAAAGGGTTTTAAAATTTCCGACAGATTGTTAGGTAAGACACATATGTCAGACACTGCAACACAAGGGTATTTTGGGTTAAAGGGGCCATCTATTCAACAACCTCTATTTGTGAGAACGGCGGGGTTTTTTGAGAAGGACCTCCCCTTTCCCAAAGCAACCTACGTCTCACCCCCTTGGCACAAAAAAAACCCCATTCTTTCATTTTCAATTTCCCTATTGTTTCAGCAAGGGAAAACAATGCCCCTTCTCCAGACGGGGGGACGGGACCACCTCAAAATTTTAAAGGGGTGAGGGAAATGTTCATCTTTTCTTAAATTTCCCTTCCGTTTCTATAAACCTTTTTGTACTGACTAAAGAAGCCTAATTTTGTGGGGCGAAATTTTCGAAAAAAGGATACCAAACCCTTGGGGCATTGTGTTTTACCAAAACCAATCTGTCGGAAATTTTATCCATTTTAATGTTCATTCTGTCAGCCCTGAAAACCAAAAGGGTATCTTTTTTCAGCCCCTTTTTACTTCAAAAACCTTTCTACTGTGGGAACGGCTGGGTTTGAGAAGGACCTGCCCCCCCCAAAGAAACCTACGTTCACCCTGGCAATAAAAAGCCCCTTTTCTGTCCTAAACTTATTTTGGTTTCGGACAACGGAAAAAATGCTTTCTCCAGACTGAGGGATGACCCCTCAAAATTTTTAAGGGTGATGGACTATTACTTTCGTCTTCAAGTTTTTGCTTCTATCAACTTTTCGGTCCCGGGGTAAAGAACCCTACTGTGTAGGCGAAAACCTTTTTTCAAAATAAAGTACCAAACTGTTGCATATGTGTTTACCTAACAATAATCTCTGATAACTCTATTTCTCATTTGCAAGTTCCGATTTAGATCCAAAACCCCCCTCCTCATGTAAATTTTTCCCAAACCCCAAAAATTTAAACCCCCAAAACCCAGCCCCCAAAACCCAAATAGGCAGATGTTCCATCATCAACTACCCTTTTTCCAAACCAATTTCTTTCTTTGTCCTTTCTAAATCTAAAAAATATCCTCCAAAAGGGCCTTATCCCAAAAAACCCCCCTTTTTGGGGTTTCAGGATTTTTACTTCCCCTTTCCCAAAACTCAAGGCCCGGGTGTGAGGGAAAAAATTCAACAGTAGGAGTAGGAGGGGAAAATATGGGAATTTATTGTTTGAATTTTCCGGCTGCTTGTTTTTGGTTGGGGCAGTTTTCGCTCCTGCTATCCCCCCCCCCCCCCCCTTTCTCCCCACCCCGAAAGGTGACGTTTTGGGGCTCCCGGCCCAAACCCGTTAAACACCGGGCTAAAGCCCCCCGCCCCAAATAAGTAAAAGCCTCTGCTCCTATTTTAGTTTTGGGTATTGGTTTGAAAGCTTCACTTTTGACCAATAAAAGCTTAGTTTCCCTTTTTGTTTTAAGCTCCACATAAGACTTTTCGAAAATCACCACATTTTTTAAGTATCTTGCACTTATCATGGAGAGTGATTTCTTAAGCAGTGGGTAACCTGTCTCTCTTTCCAGCTTGGAATGACAGATCGGGTCACCTGCCAACCAACGAGAAGTGTTGAAGGAGACGGACTGAAACAACCCATGAGACGTCATTCATAATCTACCTACCTGATTAATTGTACAGGACACTACCCCTCATCTTTGCAGTGGTAAAGAACCTGAGTTCCTGTCATCTGGACTGACTATTCAAAGGCGTATAGACTCTGTGAAGAACTAGTCGTTGGGTTGGTCACCAACACCTGTGAACTGCCCCCCCCCCCCCCCACATCATCAGCAATGGCTACAATTCTACAAGACAGTGTCAACCTCAACCAGACACCCCAGTATAACTGTACATATTAGCGTTGAATTCAAATGTCATTTTTCCATTTCATTTTTCATTTTTTTCTGTCAAATAGGATACACATTCATTTTTTCAATATTTTATCTTTGCATTACTAAATAATAAAGTGTTTATCTTTGTGAATTATTTCTTTTTCTATTCATTAATTTTCCTGAGGAGGAGCCAGCCTTGGTAATACTGTCTGAAGTTGTTACAGGAGTAAGCCTTCACACTGGCTATATAAAAATAACCAGTTTCCCTGAATCCCTTCACTAAATATTATCCTGCTGTCACTCCAACAGCTCGTCAGGTCCCAAATACCATTTGTCTCCATTCACTCCTAACACACTCACGCACGCTTGCTGGAAGTCCAAGCCCCTCGCCCACAAAACCTCCTTTACCCCCTCCCTCCAACCTTTTCAAGGACGACCCCTACCCCGCCTTCCTTTCCCTACAGATTTATATGCTCTCCATGTCATTCTATTATCCATTCTCTCTAAATGACCAAACCACCTCAACAACCCCTCTTCAGCCCTCTCACTAATACTTTTATTAACTCCACACCTTCTAATTTCACCACTCCAAATTCTTTGCATATTTACACCACTCATTGCCATTAGACAGGACATCTCCACTGCCTCCAACCGTCTCCTAGCTGCAGCATTTACAACCCAAGCTTCACACCCCTATAAGTGTTGGTACCACTATGCTTTCATACATTTCCTTTGCCTCCATAGATAACGTTTTTTGTCTCCACATATACCTCAATGCACCACTCACCTTTTTTTCTTCATCAATTCTATGATTAACCTCATCCTTCATAAATCTATCCACTGACACGTCAACTCCCAAATATTAGAAAACATTCACTTCTTCCATACTCCTATCCAAATTGATATCCAATTTTCCTTTATCTAAATCATTTGATACTCTCATCACCTTATTCTTTTCTATATTCACTCTCAACTTTCTACTTTTACACACACTCCCAAACTCGTCCACTAACCGTTGCAACTTTTCTTTAGAATCTCCCATAAGCACAGTAGTAGGAGAGTTAGTAGATGGGGAGATGGAGGTATTGGGTAGATGGTGAGAATACTTTGAGGAACTTTTAAATGTCGACGAAGAAAGGGAGGCGGTAATTTCATGCACTGGCCAGGGAGGTATACCATTTTTTAGGAGTGAAGAAGAGCAGGATGTGAGTGTGGGAGAGGTGCGTGAGGCATTACGTAGAATGAAGGTGGTAAAGCAGCTGGAACTGATGGGATCATGGCAGAAATGTTAAAAGCAGGGGGAGATATAGTGTTGGAGTAGTTGGTATTTTTGTTTAATAAATGTTTGAAAGAGGGGAACGTACCTAGGGATTGCCATAGGGCATGTATAGTCCCTTTATGTAAAGGGAAGGGGGACAAAAGAGATTGTAAAAATTATAGAGGAATAAGTTTACTGAGTATACCAGGAAAAGTGTACGGCAGGGTTATTATTGAAAGAATTAGAGGTAAGACAGAATGTAGAATTGCGGATGAGCAAGGAGGTTTTAGAGTGGGTAGGGGATGTGTAGATCGAGTGTTTACATTGAAGCATATATGTGAACAGTATTTAGATAAAGGTAGGGAAGTTTTTATTGCATTTATGGATTTAGAAAAGGCATATGATAGAGTGGATAGGGGAGCAATGTGGCAGATATTGCAAGTATGTGGAATAGGTGGCAAGTTACTAAATGCTGTAAAGAGTTTTTATGAGGATAGTGAGGCTCAGGTTAGGGTGTGTAGAAGAGAGGGAGACTACTTCCCAGTAAAAGTAGGTCTTAGACAGGGATGTGTAATGTCACCATGGTTAATATATTTATAGATGGGGTTATAAAAGAAGTAAATGCTAGGGTGTTCAGGAGAGGGGTGGGATTAAATTATGGGGAATTAAATACAAAATGGGAGTTGACACAGTTACTTTTTGCTGATGATACTGTGCTTATGGGAGATTCTAAAGAAAAATTGCAAAGGTTAGTGGACGAGTTTTGGAGTGTGTGTAAAGGTAGAAAGTTGAAAGTGAACATAGAAAAGAGTAAGGTGATGAGGATATCAAATGATTTAGATAAAGAAAAATTGGATATCAAATTGGGGAGGAGGAGTATGGAAGAAGTGAATGTTTTCAGATACTTGGGAGTTGACGTGTCGGCGGATGGATTTATGAAGGATGAGGTTAATCATAGAATTGATGAAGGAAAAATGGCGAGTGGTGCGTTGAGGTATATGTAGAGACAAAAAAAAGTTATCTATGGAGGCAAAGAAGGGAATGTATGAAAGTATATTAGTACCAACACTCTTATATGAGTGTGACGCTTGAGTTGTAAATACTGTAGCTAGGAGGTGGTTGGAGGCAGTGGAGATGTCCTGTCTAAGGGCAATGTGTGGTCTAAATATTATGCAGAAAATTCGGAGTGTGGAAATTAGAAGGTGTGGAGTCAAAAGTATGTATTAGTCAGAGGGCTGAAGAGGGGTTGTTGAGGTGGTTTGGTCATTTAGAGAGAATGGATCAAAGTAGAATGGCATGGAGAGCGTATAAATCTGTAGGGGAAGGAAGGTGGGGTAGGGGTCGTCCTCGAAAAGGTTGGAGGGAGGGGGTAAAGGAGGTTTTGTGGGCGAGGGGCTTGGACTTCCAGCAAGCGTGCGTGAGCCTGTTAGATAGGAGTGAATGGAGACAAATGGTATTTGGAGCCTGATGAGCTGTTGGAGTGTGAGTAGGGTAATATTTAGTGAAGGGATTCAGGGAAACCGGTTATTTTTATATAGCCGGACTTGAGTCCTGGAAATGGGAAGTACAATGCCTGCACTTTAAAGGAGGGTTTGGAATATTGGCAGTTTGGAGGGATATGTTGTGTATCTTTATACGTATATGCTTCTAAACTGTTGTGTTCTGAGCACCTCTGCAAAAACAGTGATTATGTGTGAGTGAGGTGAAAGTGTTGAATGATGATGAAAGTATTTTCTTTTTGGGGATTTTTTCTTTTTGGGTCACCCTGCCTCGGTGGGAGACGGCCGACATGTTAAATAAATAAATAAATAAATATATATATATATATATATATACAGTGGACCCCCGCATAACGATTACCTCCGAATGTGACCAATTATGTAAGTGTATTTATGTAAGTGCGTTTGTACGTGTATGTTTGGGGGTCTGAAATGGACTAATCTACTTCACAATATTTCTTATGGGAACAAATTCGGTCAGTACTGGCACCTGAACATACTTCTGGAGTGAAAAAATATCGTTAACCGGGGGTCCACTGTATATATATATATATATATAATCACCTCAACAAACAGGTTAAGCTTGTTGATTAAGTTACTGACATAACCTGAACTTGCCATTCTATGTAAATTTCTTCAGAATGGTGTTGGACTAAAATTATTATTGGGCAGCTGTTTGCGGTGTTGTTCTTCCTGATGCTGTTCACGCTGGGTGTGGGGTCTGCTGCAGGACTCACTGGTAACATTATCACCATCATCTGTGACCAGTTCCCAGCCATCCCGAAAATCTATGTTACCATCGTCATCTGCATCAGTGGTTTTCTCCTCGGACTCATTTATGTTACACCTGTAAGTCTATTTTTTTGTGAGCAGAAGGAAATGATAAATCCATAGGGGTCATATAGCACCTGGAGGAAAGGGCGGCTATCAGATTCAGTACAAGAAAAGGGAGGCAGTCAGGTTCAGTACAAGAAAAGGGAGGCAATCAGGTTCAGTACGAGAAAAGGGATGTAATCAGGTTCAATGTGAGAAAAGGAAGACAATCAGGTTCAGTACGAGAAAAGGGAGGCAATCAGGTTCAGTACAACAAAAGGGAGGCAATCAGGTTCAGTACAAGGGAGGCAGTCAGATTCAGTATGAGAAAAGGGAGGCAATCAAGTTCAATACAAGAAAAGGGAGGCAATCAGGTTCAGTGCAAGAAAAGGGAAGCAATCAAGTTCAATATAAGGGAAGAGTGGTCCAACTTGTCAACGTTGCTCTTTCATTTTTTGCTCTATTTTAATAATTTTATACACCATAGCATTTATTAATTATATTTTCATTTTATATTAATTTTTATTTATTGCCTTGAAGGTCAATTTAGTAAAGCACAATATGGATGCCTGTGTATAATGTGTGTGCATACAAGCATGTGTGTATTCATATATGCACACCTGTGAATGTGCAAGACAACCAGCTTCAATTGGAAGGTAATATAATAAAATTAAGTATTAGTATTAACCCAAAATAATCCAAGGGTAGGATAGGTACAGTTTCTCGCATCAATTATTATTATTATTATTATTATTATTATTATCATCATCAAAAAGATTTCTGGTATAAAGATTATTAAAATCAATAAGCGCTAAACCCACAAGGGTCATACAGCACTGCAAGGTAAGGTGTGCTTGATCTGATACTAGCAAGGGTGGAGAGTACAACAGAGGTTGAGTTAGTAAGGTCGGTGAATTATTATTATTATTATAATCAAAAAGAAGCGCTAAGCCACAAGGGCTATACAGCGCTGCAGGGTAGGGAAGGAAGCGAAGGTATTGGATGGCAGAAGGGAGGAGGGATGATCAGCAGGTTACAGAAAACAGCGGGGCAGGGGATAGTACGGGGGTAGAGGGTAGCAAGAGATTGAAGTAGAAAGGGCTGAAGGTATCAGAATTTGTGAAGTAAGTCAGTTGTTGTCAAAAAGTCAATGAGAGAGTCCGGATGAAAGGTGGGTCCATCAGCGAGAAGGGAAGGTAAAGAGAGAGCAGCGGAGCGAAGACGACGACAGAGGTAAATTCTGCGTGCTCGTTGATAAAGTGGGGCAGTCCAACAGAATGTGGCTGACTGATAATGGAGCTTGGCAATTCTCACAGAGAGGAGCAAGACGCCTCTCCACGAGATATCCATGAGTAAGACGAGTATGGCCAATGCGAAGACAGGAGAGAGTAGTCTCCCAACCTCGACACTGGTGATAAGAAGACGGCCAGTAACCTATACTCGGTTTAATAGATTGAAGTTTGTTGCCGAGCATAGTAACCAACGTTGTTGCCAACGGGTGTGAAGGTGGGAAGATATTGCAGCAAAATAGCCCGTAAATGGAATACCTCTATAAGAAACTGGTAGGTCATGTACTGCTGACCGCGCAGCAGTGTCTGCCTGTTCATTGCCCTGTACGTCAACGTGACCAGGGACCCAACAAAAAACAATATCTTTATGCTTGGTAAAGATGTGGCGTAGCCAAAGTTGGATACGGAGGACTAAGGGGTGAGGTGTATCAAATTTTTGTATAGCCTGTAAAGCACTAAGGGATCTGAGACAACCACAAATGATGACACAGGCATAGATGCAATACGGATAAGTGCTGTAAGGATGGCATTAATTCAGCAGTAAAAATACTAGCCGAAGAGAGTAAATGCCCTTGTACAACGCTGTCCGGAAACACTGCTGCGAATCCTACGCCGTTAGAAGACTTAGAGCCATCTGTGTACACAGCAATGGCATGAGAATGAGAGTGAAAGTGGTCAAGAAAAAGAGAGCGGGAAGCGACCGTAGACAGTTGGGCTTTCAAGCAAGGGAGGGAGAAAGAACAGACTCGAACAGCTGGAACTTCCCAGGGGGGTAGGGAAAAGTGAGATGCTACATGTACATGGAAAGGTGGTAGTTGAAGAGAAGACAAGAGCGAATGAAGGCGAAGAGAGAAGGGATGGAGTAAACAGGGGCGGCGAACAAATAAAGAATGTCTACTAACATCAGTGACCATTCTATAAATGGAAGGATTGCAGAGATCATGAGAGCGTACATAGTAGCCCAGGCAATGGGCATCACAGCGATCGGATAAGGATGGAACGTTCGCTTCTGCATAGAGGCTCTCGACAGGGGAAGAGCGAAAAGCACCAAGGCATAAAACGTAATCCTTGGTGATGAATGGGGTTAAGGCTAGAGAGAGTAGCAGGAGATGCCACTGAATAGATCTGGTCACCATAATCAAGTTTCGATAAAATAAGGGTGGAATGTAGGCGAAGGAGGGTTCGACAATCAGCTCCCCATGAAAGATGAGCAAGGGTTTTAAGAAGGTTCAGCCGGCTGTGACAAGTTGCCTTCAGAGAGGTAATGTGAGGTTTCCAGGATAACCTACGATCAAAGAGGAGGCCCAGAAACTTGACTGTATCACGTTCAGGGATACGGAGCCATAGAGGTACAAAGGATGATCGGAGATGACAGAGCGTCTAGTGAAAGTAATTTGGTGGGTTTAGTGCTGGAAAATTTAAAACCCACGTGTGGTGGCCCAATTGGAAACACGGTCGACTGCATGTTGGAGAGAAACTGTAATGAGGTGACAGTCAGTGACTGCACAGGCAATAGCGAAGTCATCAACATAGAGTGATGACCAAATATTTGATGGAAGACTAAGAGGCCAAATCATTAATAGCAAGGAGAAAAAGTGTTGTGCTCAGAACACATCCCTGGGGACACCTTCAGCTTGGATAAAGTCCGGGGAGAGCACATTATTAACCCGAACACGGAATGCCTGTCAGTTAAAAAGTTCTTAAGGAAGGATGGTAGATTGCCTCGAAGGCCTAAGGAGTGGGCTTGGCTAAAATATTATACCTCCAAGTTGTGTCATATGCCTTCTCAAGGTCAAAAAATATGGCAATAACTGAGTGGTTATTCGCAAAGGCATTACGAACATACGTATCCAAGCGTAGTAAGGGGTCTATGGTAGAACGTCCCTTACGAAAGCCATATTGATGAGTGGAGAGACTGTTGTGTGTCTAAATACCACACTAAACGTCTATTTACTAGGCGTTCCATTACTTTGCCAACTGCACTGGTAAGAAGCAATGGGACGATAGTGGGAGGTTTCATGTCCCGTAGTGCCTGGTTTGCGGAAAGGGAGAACAATGGCGGATTTCCACAGCTGTGGAAGAACTCCTTGTGACCAAATAAGATTGTAAAGGCGTAATAGGACTGCAAGGGCTGACTGATGTAAATTGTTGTAGCATACGAATATGATGTCCGTCGGGCCCAGCTGCCGATGATCGACAAGCTGAGAGTGTTGCCTCCAGTTCTTGAAGTGTAAAAGGCACATTATACTGTTCTTCTCTGAGAGAAGAGAAGTCCAAGGGTGCTAACTCTCTGGCAGACTTTGAGGAAAGAAATGAGGGGCATAGATGGAGTCCCTGAGAAATACGGACCAGATGATTGCCAATTTCATTGGCAACATCTAGTGGGTTTTTGGCTATATCAACACCGGCAACTCACAGAACAGGAGCCGGGTCAGGAGAATATTTACCACTCAGTTTTCGTACTTTTTTCCAGACTGCACTCATAGAGGAAGCAGAGGTGATGGTGGAGACATAATCTCGCCAACAAGTGCATTTAGCGTCACGGATGACACGGTGAGCGATCGCACGCTTCTGTTTAAAATCAAGGAGTCTCTCTGTGGTTCTATTGTACCGGTACCTGCCCCATGCAGCGTGTTTCAAACGTACTGCACGAGCACAAGCAGGAGACCACCAAGGCACGCATTTCTGAGAATGCCTGCCCGAAGTTTGGGGTATAGAATGAGAAGCTGCGGTGAAAAAGGAGGACGAGAAGAGGTGTAAAAGCTCATCGATGGAGGACGAAGAAGGAACCTTTTTAAAAACAGTTAGGTGTGAGTAAAGGTTCCAATTTGCCCGATTAAATTGCCAGCGTGGGGTGGAAGAGGTGGCGAATATGAAGGGGAAGTAAGATGATTGGGAAATGATCACTGTCATGTAAGCCGGGAGAACAGACCAAGTGAAGTCTAATGCGGCGGAGGAAGAGCAACTGAGAGATCGATGCAAGAGAGAGTATGAGTCCGAGATCAAAATGGGTGTGAGTACCTGTATTTAAAACATGGAGGGGGTGGGTGCAAGAAAAGCCTCTAACTGAATTCCACAGGAATCACAGTGAGACCCCCCCCCAGAGGAAATGGTGGGCATTAAAATCACCAAGTAACAGAATCGGTGGCGGTAATGACGAAACAAGGAAGGCAATATCCGGAATAGATAATGCCCGAGAAGGAGAGAGATATAAAGAACAGAGCGTATACCACCTATGTAAGTGGATACGGGCTGCTGTGTAATGCAGCGAAGTATGAACAAATAGCTGATGGTACGGAATATCAGTGCGTAGAAGAAGGGCACTTTCATTAAAGGTCCCATCAGGAAAAGGATCTGAAGAATACAGTAAATTATAGCCTGAGATGGGAGACATAACAGCAGAGTGTAATTTTGGTTCCTGTAAGCAAACACCAACAGGGGCAAACTGGGAGAGTAACATCTGAAGCTCACCCCATTACCCCTGAGGCCGCGTATATTCCACTGTAAATAGGCCATGATTGGCAATGATAAAGATACTTGAAATCCGCAGGTAAGGGTTCCTACGGACTAGAGGGGTTAGAAAAGTCCACATGCGGAGGCAGTGGAAAACATTCAAGCAGCGAAGGAACGGTGCGCTGTGAAGAAAGGAGTTGCGCAGATGGAGCAGAGGAGAGAGAAAGAGCGGAAGGTGGATCAGTGTCCATTGATGGTTTGGTCTCTGCAATATATTCAGAGATTGCTTCAAGTGTTTCTGAATTCAGAGACGTCGTATGGGAGACAATATTGGAAATGGTAGGGGGAGGATGAGTAAAGATTGGAACTGTATTGGACTGTACCAAGGTAGGGGGGGGCGAAAGGGTGGAGGGAACTGGAGAAGTGTGGCAGGGGACAGAAGAGGCAGGAACCTGGGAGGTGGCAGAAGAGGAAGAAACTTGGGAGGGAACAGGGGAGGAAGGTACAGTATGAGGAGGAGGGTGAACCTCTACACTTGTAACTGAGCCAGTGAGAGGGGGAGAACCAGGGACAGAGACAGGGAGGGTAAAATGAGGAGGTGGAAGATGGGTAGGTGTTAACGGACCTTTTTTTGACTTTTGAGAAGTAGAGGGACGATTGGGAGGAGGTGTCGTACGAGGTCTCGTCGATACTGAGGCTTGTGAGAGAGAACTCGAAGAAGCGAGATCAGACTGAGGCGTTGAAGTAGGGACGTCTGAGCCGAGGACAGCAAAAGGATTAGATACAGGAGTGACTATGGGAGAGGTAACCACAGAGGTGGGTGTAGAAGATGGGATACCAGAAGTGGGGGGACGTTTTGAAACACGGGAATAAGAAACACGTGGGAGTCTCCTTTGGAGGTGGAGATGAGAAACTGCCATGGCATAAGGGAGACCTTCTGTCTCTTTGAGGTAACGGATTTCCCGCTCATTTAAATAGACTTGACAACGGCGAGAGTACGAAGGGTGAGCCTCATGACAGTTAAGGCAAGAGGGAGATCGATTGCAAGACGTATTAGAATGGTCATCGGCACCACAGACTGGGCATTCGGCAATAGATCTGCAATATTTCGCTGGATGGGCCAAATCGCGAGCATATTCTACACTGTTGTGGTGTAGGGATCACCTTTCGAACTTGTAACCGATGTCCTGCTATATAAACTGAGGATGGGAGTTCTCGGCTGTCAAAAGTTAAACGAGCCACATTGCTAGGGTATCGTCTCTGCCCGCGGGCAGGAAGAACGTAAGTGTCTACCTTGAGATTTGGGGAATTTTGGGAGTTCCAGCTGTTCAAAATGTCAGTGCCACTGTCGGGAAATTTTGTTGAAACTAGGTTTAAGGGGCAAAAATGACGGTACCACTACAAGAATTGGGGGGAATAAATTTTTTTTCAAGAGTGACAGGAACATTTATCAAATTTTTGGAAAAGAGGGAGAGAGCTCATGACCTGGTACATTCTGAAACGGTAATGATTGCGTAAAAAGCTCTTAAAAAATGAAAAAAATATCTTTTCCAACATGGCATAGGAGGGGCCTTGCCAATACCCCTTTTTGGTCAGAAAGAAGGGTTAGAGGAATCCCTCGTAAAGTGAAGAATTTTGTCCCCCTTGTTACAGACCGAAAATGAGCGTGGAAAAGGGAGTTTAAGGACTGTCCATCGTTTCTGAGAAAACGAGAAGGTGGAGAATATCATCAGCAGTAATTTTTCGTTTTGGGGTTTGGGGGTGGGACCAGATTGGTCCCACGTGGAACGGGTCCGGGGATTTGAAAATTGCCGCACCCTAAAAGGGAGGGGCCCAAGCATAGTCCCGAGGAGAGCGAAGGTTCCCATAAATCGAAGGATCAGTCGAGGCCCAGTATCTGAACGGGGGAGGAAAAAAGCACCGGGAAAAGATACAGGGCATGAGGGGTGTCTGAAGAGGGGGTCCAAAGACGAGGCGGGGGGCAGAAAGGGGTGCGGTACAAAAAGGGGGGCCCGGGGGGAGTAGGGTTTATGGGCTAGGGGTGCCATGGTTAGGTTTTCTTCTTTTTTTGTTTTTAAAAAAAAAAAAAGAAAGAAGAAAATAAAAAAAAAAATAAAAAAAAGGGGGACCGGGGAGGGATAGTTCCCAGGGGAATGAAAGGGCCAAAATCTCCCCCCCGCTCCCAAGAGGACCTCAGCACCGCAAGTAGCGCAGATGCAGCAAAGGAACCCTGCCATACCCTACCCATCATGCTAGTAAACTAACAATCCGGGATAGCAACCTCACATCTGCCGAGCTACCTCGTGGACAAAAGAGAGGCGGCCGGATATCTGCCACAAAGCATACCTCCTTCGGCCACCACCCCCGGGCATCCGAAAGGTGGCTTCCAAGATACACCCATCGCCCGAAAAAACACCCAAAGCTACTCGGGGAAAACCGGAGAGGGAATCGAGACATCCCCAGGCGATCCGATTCCACGGCAAACTACGCCACCGCCAAGAACCTCAACGGAATGGGATAGACCCCGGTATCCTTTCCCCTACCTAGGAACTAGCGCGCCTGTGGGAGAAATCCCAAAGGCTAAAAAGAGGAAGGGCAAAAGGGAGGGGTGGGGAGGAGGAGGAGGAAAGGAAAAAGGGGAGGATGGGATAGGGGAGGGGAGATTGGGGGGTAATTAGGTTCGGTCTGAGGAAGAAGACCGACAGGTCTAATTCCTCAGACCAAGAGCCTCTTCACCACGCCAAGGAGCCCCCCCTTGAAGAGGAAGGTCGGTGAAGAATGCTAAAGTATAATCAAAGGTTGTGTAATAAATCTGGTGTTGTTAATAAGTCAAAGAGGGAGTGTGTCAAAGGTGGGGTTGTCAGCAAGGTCTTGTATCAAGAGCCCCTCACCAGAATCAGTGTACCATTCCCTAAAGGGACCTAAATTTGTACAATACAGTACTACTGTATATTAATTTATTTCTCTCGTCTTTGTGTGGATGCTCTGCAGGGAGGTCAATGGATCCTCGACTTGGTGGATTTCTTCGGCGGAGGATTTATTATCTATGTTCTAATCATCGTGGAGACAGTCGCCATCAACCATATCTACAGTAATTATACTCATAGGTTATACAGTACTTGGGGAATGGAAGTTAATAGTTTGAACTGAGGAAGGAAAAGGCTAACTTCTATTGCTCTGACCAAGAGCCCTTCACTGGCTTGAAGTGATCCTCGAAGGGCAACTTTGTGTAGCACGAGCCAAATAAAAAATCTTAATATTTTCACTATAGAGTAAAAAGTCTCCACAAAATATGAATGATGGTTTCTATATGCAAAATTGTAATATAATTAAAATTGTCTTTTTTTTTTTTTTTTTTTTTGCTATTATACCCCTTTCACAAACTGCAAAATGTTTCAACATTGTAACAGGTTACTCAAGTTTTCTGCGAGACTTGAAGTTCATGATGGGTGTCAACTTGGGCATCTACTGGAAGTTCTGCTGGATTTTCTTCATCCCTGTGAGCCTCTCTGCCATCCTAGTCTACAGCCTCGTAGACTTCAACCTTCCAACTTTTGCAAGCAAGGCCTATCCACAGGTAGCTTATAGTAAGTTATTTTTATATTTATTATTATTGTTAATATTTCCAGGGGGGATCTCAAACCAGCAGATTTTTTCACATCATTGGTTTATTTATTTTGAGGGGAAAGTGTAAAAGAAAAGGGGTGCACATGACCATATTATTATAATCAAAAAGAAGTGCTGAACCTACAAGGGTCATACAGCATGCATGACCATAGCCACTATAACATAAGGAGCAATTATTACTAGTTTTTATTATTCATGGGGGAGCGTTAAATCCATAGGTCATACAGTGTCTGGAGAAATGAGAGGCATTCAAGTCCAGTTCTTTGGATCAAGAGCCTCTCACTAGTACCAAAGATTTTTTAAAAATATTTATAGTGAAGATTTACATTCATTTAACTGCATGGTTGACCACACTGTTGCCTGAAGACCACTGGTATATAAGGTAGCCATATTGTGCTCAGTTTAACTGCTATCCCACTGGATTATTATTATTATTGGGAGCAAATTTCATATATACTAAAAGACAAAAACACCAACAAAAAAAATATCCTTTTTGGATAATTTGACAGTCTTGTATGACAGTTGGGGAAATAAAGAGAGTGGGTCAGTTGGATTTGTCACCATTGGTGCTGCCTTGGTAGACAGTGCCTGTAAAGATATAGAAATGCAAGACAGTGCACCAGATGGAGATATTGCTCCTAATAGTGTCCAGTAGCTTGATCACTAGTGCACTCAGCTCACACACTGAAGTCCAGGGTTCGAATCTCCTCCGATACAGCTGGAAAACATTATTGACATGTTTCTATAAGACACCTGCTGTCCCTGTTCACCCATCAGTTTACAATGGGTACCTGGGTGTTAGTCGACTGGTGTGGGTCGCATCCTGGGAAAAACTGACCTAATTTGCCCAAAATGCTCTGCAAAACAAGCGTCTTTCTATATATGTAGTAGTACAGTGGAACCTCGGCTTACGAGTGCCCCACCATTCAAGTTTTTCAGGATACGAGCAGTCGCTCGGTCGATTGTTTGTTTCTGGATACGAGCAAAAATTCAGGATGTGAGCTTCCCCCTCAAACAACTTTTATTTAGACCTCCAGATCTTACTGTCATGATGTATTATGTAGTTTTTACTGCTTAAGGTTATAACTGCAACAGAAATAATAGTATTTCTTACCTTAAATTGTGGGTGCTGGTGTTTGTGGATGATTGTGAAGAGAGTGGGGAGTTATGTTGTGGTCCTACTGGGCTGAGGTGAATGGTAGAAGTTCTGGCACAGAAGTTGATGGTTGTACTGGAGTGTGCATAAATTCTATAATGGATTTCTGTTCTATTTTATCCTGCAGTACATTATACAACTGATGGTAGGGCATCAGTTGTTCAAGACACCATTTCAGGGTCAGTCAGTCAAGTCAGTCAGTAAGTCAGTCAAGTCAGTAAGTCAAGTCAGTAAATCAAGTCAGTAAGTCAGTCAGTCAGTCAAGTCAGTCAGTTAAGTCAGTCAAGTCTGCAAGTCAGTAAGTCATTCAGTCAAGTCAGTCAGTAAGTCAGATATGGTAATTAAAAGATCAAAACACAATTCACAAACACAGCTAGCTTGTAGGAGAGAAGTGGAACTGAACACACTCACAAAAACTGGGATGGTGGTGTCAGGATGGCAGGGGATGGTGGGAGGTCTCCCCTGCTGACCCACAACAAGGCGGCTGCTTGAGGTAGGGAATGGCCACCACCACTTGTCACATAATGACATAGTATTTTATTCATCAAAGAGTATATATCAGGATTCTATGTTATTTATATTGTTTAATATGTCATATTAGATGAATTGTGATAGATAAATAAGCCGATATTAGCGTCATATTCAAGTATTTTGTCCTGCCTCCTGAGAGCAGGAATTCTGCTGTAACGGATTAATGGCATTTCGATTAACTTAAATGAGGAAAATTGACTCAGCATACGAGCAGATCAGGATACAAGCAAGGTCACGGAACGGATTAAACTCATAAGCCGAGGTTTCACTGTGTGTCATTGACGTCAGCTAGGCCTGTATACCATGTATATGTACTTGTAGTAAATAAAGATATTATTGTTATTATTATTATTAAACAGGTGAAGACCAAGACATAAAAGATCCAGAAATACAAAATAACAATACTGCTGGAGATGAAAAAAGGGGGGATAGTGTTGATACATTACTAATAATAACTGGTGGTGGTACTGACATTAGTACAGGTGCTGCAGATAGTGGGGGAGTCAGGAACAACTGCTGCAGTAGGGAACCTTGCCACAAAAAAATCCTGGCAAACAGGAATCAAATCTGCAGGGTATCTGTAGGCATGAAATATTTGGAAAAACAAATGGGATGTGCAACGTTGACCATCCAAAAAATGCAGTGACCTCATGACCAAGGGAGTATGTAATTATTCTTCTTGTAAACTACTTCACCCTGAAATGTGTTATTCTTCAGTCTATGAAAGAATGTGACAACTGTCAGGCACATCATTTAAGATACCTATAATGGAGGAATGTGGCAAATAATGTTTTATCAAAGATAATCCCAGGGGGCAGCTCAGATGAAAATTCATACACATGAGCTATTAAATCTTTACAACAAATTCACCTTAAACCATCAAATAGTTGAGCCAACAAGACTGGAAAATACACTTGACCTTATCTTTGCTAATAATGATGATCTAGTATGAAATATAACAGTATCAAAGACAATACACTCAGATCACAACATAATAGATGTATAGAAGTACAGACGTGTATATGTAGGGCTCCTGACCAGCAAGAGATCAGTTATAAGGGTGCCTTCACCAAATTCAACTTCGGTAACAGAAACATACAGTGATTTCAAATTAACCATGTCCTCGATGAAACAAGCTGGAAAGATATCCTGAACAACACGGATCCGAACCTTGGGCAAGTTTCTTTACACCGGTTGTCTATGTTCATCCATCAGTAAAATGGGTACCTGGGTGTTAGTCGACTGGTGTGGGTCGCATCCTGGGACAAAACTTGCCTAATTTGCCCGAAATGCTCGGTATAACAAGCGGCTTTCTATATAGTAGTACATATGTCATTGATGTCAGCTAGGCCTGTACATTTTGTACATGTACTTGTAGTAAATAAAGATTATTATTATTATTATTATTATTATTATTTACCTAGAAAGAATTAACTCTGTGGCACTTGAGGTATACTCAAGGCACTTTCCTCTAAGAAAAAAGAAAAGAAGGTGTAAACTAGAAAAAAGAGATACACTCCCTTTACAGGCGAAGGCAAAGAATCACAGAGGTGCTGAAAGGAGCCAGTATATCTGAAATATGGAAGGAGGCACTGACCAGAGAAATAGAAAATATCAAGCTTAAGCTTAAGGAATCACACAGGAACCAAGAAACATAGGAAGAACTTAAAGCCATAAATGAAACTGAAAAAAAAAAATTCACTTCCTATGTGGCTATGCCAAATCTGGGGCAAAAACCACATCCAGTATCGGGCTCCAGATTAAATGAGATAAGACTTACACAGATGACAGCAAAGAAATGAGTGAGATACTGAAGTCCCAATATGGCTCAGCAGTTAGTAAGCCATTAATCAGACTAAGAATGGACAATCTAAATGAATATTTTATGACCTAGACTCAAAATCTGGTTAATTCAGGAATTTATGATATAATCCTAACACCACAAGACTTTGAAAAAGCAATAAATGACATACCTATGCACTCTGTCCCAGGCCCAGTCCATTGGAACTTTGTGTTCAAGAACTGCAAGAAACCCCTTTCACATGCCTTAAATATTCTATGGAGAGGAAGCATAGAGATTGGGTCATCCCACAGTCACTAAAAACAAAGGATATTGCCCCACTCCACAAAGGTGGCAGTAAAGCAATTGCAAAGCATAACAGACTGATAGCACTAACATCCCACATCATAAAGATCTTTGAGAGGGTTCTAAGAAGCAAGATTACCAACCACTTGGATATCCATCAATTGCACAACCCAGGGCAGTATGGGTTTAGAGGAAGTAGTTCCTGCCTCTCACAACTACTGAACCACTACAACATGGTCTTGGATGCTCTGGAGAACAAACAAAATGCAGATATAATATACACAGACTTTGAAAAAGCCTTGGACAAGTGTTATCATGGTGTAACAACACACTAAATTAATGATAAAGGAATAACACAAAAAGTGGGTAGATGGATCTATAACTTCCTAACAAACAGTATACAAGGAGTAACAGTAAAAAGAGTAAAGTCAGAGGTGACTACAGTGAAAAGCTGTTCCACAAGGTAAAGTACTTGCTCCCTTCCTTTACCTCATTCTCACATCTGACATAGACAGATGCAAGTCACAGTACCATGTCCTCCTTTGCTGATGATACCAGAAATTGCATGATGAAAATTAGACACATGCAACATCTGGGTATCTTTAATGTAGATGTTTTGCCATCCAGTGGCTTTATCAATGCAAATTCTAGAACATACTTTGAAAGACAGTAGAACTATATACAAAAGATGAGGTATTCAGTCCCTCAGCCTTGGAGTTGGTGTGAAGAGCACCATAATCTCTCTGGCCGCGGGTTCAAATCCCGCCCGTGGTATGGTTTGTTTGCAATCGTGTCATTACGATTTCGTGAGTCATAATCGTGATTCTTGCTGGTATTGTATACCATTCATGTACAGAATTTGCATGACTGCAATCCATCAAGGACACTGCAGATCTCCAAGTGAGCACTAACCAAGTCTGTAAATGGGCCTCAGAAAACAGTATGAAGTACACTGAAGACAAATTTCAATTACTCCACTACTGAAAACTCAAGAAAATTATGAGGGACCATAATGTCAGAGAATCTCATTTTCAAAGATTACAACAATGTATCTACCACATCTACTAGGAAAATGACAGGTGAGAACATTCAATACTAAGGATGCCAGTGATGATTCTCTTCTCTTCAAATTGCTTGTTCTCTCTAAGCTGGAATATTCCTGCACACTGAGCCCCCCTTTCATGGCAGGCAAAACTGCGGACCTGGAGAATATACAGAGAACTTGTACATATAAGTACAATACAATAAAGCACCTAAATTATTGGGAACAGTTGAAGTTCCTTGACCTGCACTCTTTAGAATGCAGGCGAGAAAGATGCACAATAATATACACTTGGATGGGTCTATGAAAGATGAGGTGAATCATAGAATTGATGAGGGAAAAAGAGTGAGTGGTGCACTTAGGAGTCTGTGGAGACAAAGAACTTTGTCCTTGGAGGCAAAGAGGGGAATGTATGAGAGTATAGTTTTACCAACGCTCTTATATGGGTGTGAAGCATGGGTGATGAATGTTGCAGCGAAGAGAAGGCTGGAGGCAGTGGAGATGTCATGTCTGAGGGCAATGTGTGGTGTGAATATAATGCAGAGAATTCGTAGTTTGGAAGTTAGGAGGAGGTGCGGGATTACCAAAACTGTTGTCCAGAGGGCTGAGGAAGGGTTGTTGAGGTGGTTCGGACATGTAGAGAGAATGGAGCGAAACAGAATGACTTCAAGAGTGTATCAGTCTGTAGTGAAAGGAAGGCGGGGTAGGGGTCGGCCTAGGAAAGGTTGGAGAGAGGGGGTAAAGGAGGTTTTGTGTGCGAGGGGCTTGGACTTCCAGCAGGTATGCATGAGCGTGTTTGATAGGAGTGAATGGAGACGAATGGTTTTTAATACTTGACGTGCTGTTGGAGTGTGAGCAAAGTAACATTTATGAAGGGATTCAGGGAAACCGGCAGGCCGGACTTGAGTCCTGGAGATGGGAAGTACAGTGCCTGCACTCTGAAGGAGGGGTGTTAATGTTGCAGTTTAAAAACTGTAGTGTAAAGCACCCTTCTGGCAAGACAGTGATGGAGTGAATGATGGTGAAAGTTTTTCTTTTTCGGGCCACCCTGCCTTGGTGGGAATCGGCCAGTGTGATAATAAAAATAAAAAAAAAATCCTTGAGGGATTAGGCCCAGATCTGCACACAGAAATCACTCCTTATGAAAGTAAAAGACTTGGCAGGCAGGGCAACATCTCCACAATGCAAAGCATAGGTGCCATGAGTAAGCTAAGAGAACACAATAAGTGTCAGGGGTCCAAGACTGTTCACCTACCTCCCAACATACATAAGGATGATTACCAATAGACCCCTGGCTGTCTTCAAGAGGGACCTGGACAAGTATCTAAAGTCAGTACCTGACCAGTATGTCAGTTTGCATGCAGCCAACAGTAACAGCCTGGTTGATCAGGCCCTGATCCACCATGAGGCCTGGTCATGGACCGGGCCACAGGGACGTTGACCCTCAGAACACCCTCCAGGTATACCTTCAGAAAAAAAGCACATTATATAAAGGACTAATAAATTTATTTATGGTAAAATGTTATGTGATATTGAGAAGTATAGTTGGAAAAAAGTCAAAATGCAAAATCTAGGACATTTTATTGACAATGTGTTGGTCCTGGGACTGAAATGTTTGAAGTGACCAAGGTCTCAGGACTGAAGTTTCCAATAAAATGTTTGTAAAGTAAAAGGGCGCAAGTGCAACTAATGTGACATTTTATTGTGGCAACATTTCACTCTCCAGCTTTGTCAAGCCATTAACGGCTTGACAAAGCTCCTGGTGAGCGAAACGTTGCCACAATAAAATGTCACATTAGTTGCACTTGTGTCCTTTTACTTTACACATTGTCAGTAATTCTACCAACATATATACAATAAAATGTTTGCAGTATGTCCTTTTAATTTTTAGATTTAGTTATCTATTATTCCCCTATACATTTCTGTACCTAATTTTATTTTGGTCAACAGCATGTGGATGGATCCTAGCCGCAGTAGCGCTTGGTATGGTACCTGTATGTTTCATCCATGCACTATACATCAATGATAAATCCTCTTTAAGTAATGTAAGTGAACCTTTTGAATGATTTTGTTGTTCACTGGTTAAAACTGAATCTGTTGAAAGAACTGAAATGCACTAATTCATACTATATAATTTTTAGATCACCAAACATATAAACATCTATTATAGTGAAAATAATTGAAGTGTAGGTTACATTTTTTAACCATATTCATTGGGAACCAAGGTAGTAGGTTGGTAGACAGCAACCACCCAGAGAGGTACTACCATCCTGCCGAGTGTGAAACAGAAACCTGTAACTGTTTTACATGATGGTAGGATTGCTGGTGTCCTTTTTTCTGCCTCATAAACATGCAGGATAAGAGATATATCTTGCTACTTCTACTTCTACTTAAGTCACATTACACATACATGTACATGTATGTATGTACATACCCATCTGGGTTTTGTTCTATTTTCCTAATAGTTCTTATTCTTCTTTATTTCCTCTTTCCTATCTCCATGGGGAAGTGAAAAAGAATTCTTCCTCTGCAAGTCATGCATGTTGTAAGAGGTGACTAAAATGCCGGGAGCAAGGGGCTAGTAACCCCTTCTCCTATATAAATTACTAAATTTAAAAAGAAAATGGAAGTTTTTCTTTTTAAGGTCACCCTGCCTTGGTGGAATATGGCCAGTTCATTGAAAAAAAAATTCTTGGAGAAATGCTAAACCCATAATTCATGAGGCACATGAGTTGATCTGAAGAAAGTGCAGGCTTCACAACAGCCAATTGTTGCCAACTTTGGAATTGGCAACACTTCTGCTGGTCATAATTTCACTTCTAAAGTTCTCATCCTTTATACTTACCAAAGATTATCCAAATTTGTGCTTATGTTATTTAGCTATTTTCTTACATACACAAACTCAGGGTGGTTAGATAGGATGGTGGGAGCATACACCACTGCAGTGGACCCCTGCAAATTTGCAGCTTCAGTAATTCATAGATTTTTCCTTAGAACCTAACTAATAATTATTTGCGGAAATCCCCGCAAATCATGGAATTTTTTTTAGCTTTTTTCGTGGCAATATATAGTTTTTTTTATGCATTTTAATGCTAAATAATAAGAAAAAATATAATTTAATAATTTTGATGAAGGAAAAAAGGTGAATGATGCGTTGAGACATCTATGGAGACAAAAAACGTTATTCATGGAGGCAAAGAAGGGTATGTATGAAAGTAAACCCCACCAAATGACTACCTCACTGGCAACTACCCGAACACACTGTTCCTAGCTCTGACTAACCCATACGAAGTCTCCCTTATTATCAACGCACTAAAAAACAAGGCAGGAGATTTAAATACCTTACCACCCTTTATATACAAAAAAGTGTCACAAGTACTATCACCAATCATTGCAACACTCTTTAACAAATCCATTGAATCCTCCACCTTCCCTACAGCTCTCAAAATAGCAAGGGTCACCCCGATCCATAAAGGAGGAGACCAAACAGAGTTGAATAACTATAGGCCAATATCCAATTTACACCCTCTCTCAAAAATCTTCGAAAAATTAATTCATAAACGAATCTACTCCTACCTCATCTCCCAAAACATTCTCAACCCCTGCCAATTTGGATTCAGGCCTAATAAAAATACTAATGATGCTATTATACACATGCTAGAACATATATACACTGCAATAGAGAAAAAAGAAGTCCCACTGGGGATCTTCATTGACTTACGTAAAGCTTTTGATACAGTTGACCATGACTTGCTCCACGTAAAATTGTCACACTATGGTATTAGAGGGCACTCCCTCAACTACCTCAAGTCATACCTCAGCAACAGAAGCCAATATGTGTACGCAAATGGGGCAAGCTCTTCCGCTCAACCAATTACAGTTGGTGTCCCACAGGGAAGTGTCCTTGGCCCTCTTCTCTTTCTCCTATACATAAATGACCTACCAAATGCTTCGCAATTACTCAAACCCACACTTTTTGCAGATGACACTACATACGTCTTCTCTCACCCGAGCCCAGTCACGCTAGCCAATACTGTAAACACCGAATTACAGAAAATATCTACCTGGATGAGGACTAACAAACTTACACTAAACGTTGACAAAACCTACTTCATTCAGTTTGGTAACAGAGCTACAGATGTACCTCTTAACATAACGATAAACAGATCACCTATCACAAAGCTAACAAAGGGAAAATTCTTAGGAATCCACATTGATAATAGACTCAAATTTCATACACATATACAACAAATTTCTAAGAAAATTTCCAAGACTGTAGGCATACTATCGAAGATACGGTACTATGTTCCACAGTCAGCCCTCCTGGCCCTTTATCACTCTCTTATTTACCCCTATCTCACCTATGGAATTAACCATCTCAGACCACTAATTACCCAACAAAAGGCTGCAGTTAGAATGATAACAAATTTTCACTACAGGCAGCACACTCCACCAATATTCAAAACACTCAACCTACTCACCATACAAAACATCCATACTTATTACTGCACCTATTACATACATAGAACACTTAACTCTGATATTAACCCTCCCATCAAACATCTCCTTGCCAACCTCAACAGAACACATGACCATAACACAAGGCACAGATCACTCTTTGATGTTCCTCGTGTCCATCTCACGCTATGCAAAAACTCAATGCACATAAAAGGCCCTAAAATCTGGAATTCATTACCTGTAAATATAAAAGAAACACTACCTGTTTATAAATTCAAGTCTCTTCTGAAAGATCACTTACTCACTCAAAACCAAATAAATACTGAATAACTGAACCTTATAAATTGTATATCACAATTATATCACACAAATGTTAAACCTAGGACCCAATCTAACTTTGTTATTTTTTTAAATACACTACCTAACAGAATACTCCATTCGACTGAATGTACAGCAATGCATGCAACCATATGATCTGTCTTTGTAATACTCATTTGTGCTTTATAGTTATCTGCTTACAATAATGTTTTATCACTGATTTCATCATTGCTTAGTTAATCTTAAGTTAATTTTAAGCCAGCCCGTAATGCTATGCATATAAGTGGCTTTGGCATGCTGCTCTTACCTGTATTTTTTTGTACCTCTGTATTTTTTAATTTTTATTATCACACTGGCCAATTCCCACCAAGGCAGGGTGGCCCGAAAAAGAAAAACTTTCACCATCATTCACTCCATCACTGTCTTGCCAGAAGGGTGCTTTACACTACAGTTTTTAAACTGCAACATTAACACCCCTCCTTCAGAGTGCAGGCACTGTACTTCCCATCTCCAGGACTCAAGTCCGGCCTGCCGGTTTCCCTGAACCCCTTCATAAATGTTACTTTGCTCACACTCCAACAGCACGTCAAGTATTAAAAACCATTCGTCTCCATTCACTCCTATCAAACACGCTCACGCATGCCTGCTGGAAGTCCAAGCCCCTCGCACACAAAACCTCCTTTACCCCCTCCCTCCAACCTTTCCTAGGCCGACCCCTACCCCGCCTTCCTTCCACTACAGACTGATACACTCTTGAAGTCATTCTGTTTCGCTCCATTCTCTCTACATGTCCGAACCACCTCAACAACCCTTCCTCAGCCCTCTGGACAACAGTTTTGGTAATCCCGCACCTCCTCCTAACTTCCAAACTACAAATTCTCTGCATTATATTCACACCACACATTGCCCTCAGACATACCTCTGTATGTATGCTAAAATTACTAAATAAATAAAAAATAAAGCGGTACCAACACTCTTATATGGATGTGAAACTTAGCTTGTAAATGCTGCAGCAAGGATGTGGTTGCAGGGGTTGAGTCACAGCTCCAGGCCCCACCTCTTTACTGATTGCTACTGGGTCCTCTCCCTATTCCATGAGCTGTATCAAACCTCATCTTAACACTGTGTATGGTTCGTGACTCCACTATGTCACTTTCTAGGCTATTCCACTTCCTAACAACTCTATGACTGAAGAAATACTTCCTAATGTCCCTTTGACTCACAGGAGTCTTTAACTTCCATTTGTGACCCCTTGTTTCTGTGTCCCATCTCTGGAATGTCCTGTCTTTGTCTACCTTGTCAATTCCTTGCAGTATTTTATATGTCATTATCATGTCTCCCTGACCCTCCTGTCTTCCAGTGTCATTAGGCCGATTATGGGACCTGACGATCTGTTGGAGTGTGAGCAGGGTAATATTTAGTGAAGGGATTCAGGGAAACCGGTTATTTTTATATAGCCGGACTTGAGTCCTGGAAATGGGAAGTACAATGCCTGCACTCTAAAGGAGGGGTTTCGGGATATTAGCAGTTTAGAGGGATATGTTGTGTATCTTTATATGTATATGCTTCTAAACTGTTGTGTTCTGAGCACCTCTGCAAAAACAGTGATTATGTGTGAGTGAAGTGAAAGTGTTGAATGATGATGAAAGTATTTTCTTTTTGGGGATTTTCTTTCTTTTTTGGGTCATCCTGCCTTGGTGGGAGACGGCCGAATTGTTGAAAAAAAAAAAAAGTATGAGTGATGGTGAAAGTGTTGAATGATGATGAAAGTTTTTTCTTCCTTTTTGGGTTTTTCTTTCTTTTTGGGTCACTTTGCCTCAGTGGGAAATGGCCGTGTTAAAAAAAAATGTATGACTAATCACCTAGATGAAGTTGTTCCCATCTTAGTACTCTTCTTGGAAGGCAACACAGTGATCCCAGTGCTTTTGCCACTTCTTGTAGTATTTCTGGAGCTCTTCTCTCTTAACAGTGTCTAGCACGGCCTGCATTTCTGTTGTAATTTACTCCACGTCATTAAAATGCCATCCCTCGAGTCATTTTTAATTTTGGGTAGAGAAATTCACAGGGGGCTAAATCTGGGAAGTAGGAAGGGTGGGAGATGACTGCTATATTGTTTTTGTCCAGAAAACAATGGCCTTTCTGATCTTGAGTCAGCAAGCAGGACACAAATTTTGCAGCCACTTGCCTCATGTTGAAATTTATAGTGAACATGCTTTGACACGACTCTTAAGAAATTCCTACAGCACTTGCAATACCCTGGATACTATTATGATCTTCTTGTAAAGCCTTTCTCACTTTTTCAATGATGGCATCTGTTTTTGACAATGGACAACCAGAACATTCATCATCCTCAACTGATGTTCATCCTGCTCTTAACTGAGAAAACCATTCAAAACAATGTCCAACCCATTGCTTTGTCACCAAATGCTTGCTAAAGCATTTGGTGACAAACAGAATTTCACACACAAATGCTGTTCTTTCTTTTAAGAATCCATTTTATTATACAAAAACTAGCAACACACTAACATGACAAAAAAAATGCCAGTCTAACTTCAGTGGAATGACCGATCATACTGAAACTCACCACACTACTTCACGACCATGATCTACACTGCCACCATATTTTACCCAGGAAGTGGCAAGAAAATCTGAGTAAGGGAACTTTTTGCTAACACCTTGTAGGGACAGATTTGGATAAATGTACGTAACTATTATTCTTTTCTCCTTTTACAGAAACTGATGTCGGTATTCAGACCCAAAGACACATGGGGACCTAAGAGAAGAGAGGACAGAGAGAAGTGGGAGAAGCTAAAAGTAAGACATGGAGAGGCACAAGGAACTGCTTAGAAAGAATAAGCTTTAATATCAGTTGCATTTTCTGAAGGTGTTTTGTGCTTGAGAGCTTGTGTTACAGTAGAGCAAGAATGCAAGCAAAGAAATAATTTACAGGAAACAATTGTCACAAACATACATGTATTCATAATTTTCTTTCTTTTAAAGAATTCAGTTAATAGAGCTATAAGCATAGCATTAATGCTGCATTTAATCATTTGAATTGTGATGTCTGGGTGCTTCAGAAGAGACTGATAGGGAATGAGCGGTGGTCAAAGTGATTTGCCTCTGCGGGTAACCCTACCTTGGTAGGAAATGAACAGTGTGTTAAATGAAGATAAACACTATTAGCAGAAAATAAATATTGTTTCAGGTAAACCTCACTAATACATCGAGTTAGTTTCCAGACCGCAAACAAAATGAATATTGCCTTGAAGCAAATCACAGCCTTTTTTTCACTTGCCTTTTTTCACAGTCTTTTTTTTTTCTCTCTCTCTCTTCCCAGGGCATATAAAAGCCTAAAAACATGTTTACATTATCATTTATTAAGTGTGCAATAGCACTGGGGCTAAAAAAAAACATGTAAAAGTTTAAATTGCCAACAACCATCTTAAGAGTAAGGCAAACGCTGAAAATAATAAATATAGTGGTCCCTCGTTTATCGTTAATCCGCTCCTGGAAGTACGAGAATTATCGAAACAAGACTATTTTCAAATCAATTTTCCCCATAAGAAATAATGTAAATACAATTAATCCATTCCTGACACCCAGAAGTATTAAATTATTATTATAATCAAATCAGAAGTATTAAAACAAAAATTTTTTTTACATGAAATATAGATGTAGTACATAAACAATACAATGGGACATGATGAATGAAACATTAACAGCATAACACTTACCTTTATTGGCGATTTTTCTTAGTGTATGGAAGACTGGAGGGGAGAGATTGGATTAGTTACTGTTTGGAAGGGAAATCCCCTTCTATCAACACCTCAGGTACCAAGTCCTTTTCTGGGGTTCCATATTTCTCTTCTCCGTTTCTTAATGCCACTAGGACCAGCTTGAGAGTCACTGGAGTCCTGTCTCGCAAAAAAAGTGTCCAGAGAGCTCTGTTTCTGGCGTCTCATTAAAACTTCCCTAAAATGGGCCAGACTCTGTCACTGTACAAGTTGCTGATATGGCTTTCTACATCCTTCTCAGGGTGATGCTTCTCCATAAATCTTTCCATCCTACCCCACATTTCAAAAATCTCCTTAATTTCTGAAGGCACCTTCTTCCATCTCTCTTCCTCCTCCTCTGCAGAAAGATTCTGAGCTGCGATCTGTTGCTGTTCCTGCTGAAGCTCTTACAGCTCCTCAGTGGTTAGCTCTTTGTTGCAGTCCTCCAAACTCACATCCAACCCCATGGAACTCCCCAATGCTACAACAGATTTCACAACATAGGCTCATCAGGGTCAGCCACAAACCCTTCAAAATCCCTCTTGTGGACGCAATCTGGCCACAATTTTCTCCAAGGAACAACAGCTTCCTTGATTTCCTTTTTTCTTTGCCATGATGGAAGATATGGTTGTATGGGGTTTGTTATACATCCTGGCCAGTACGGCCACATGTATGCCACTTTCATATTGTTCAATGATGTTTTTCTTAAATTCAATCGTATTTCTCACCTTCTTTACCAAAGGCTTGGCACTAGGAGCTTTCTTTGGAGCCATGGTAGCTTATTTAGCACTTGCAAGCACTAAAATGAATGGAATATTATGAAATATTTCATATGAACAAGTGAGGGGACCGTCGCTCATTGGTAAACAATGGCACACTGGCTGGGAAGGGAGGCTGAGGCGGCTCAGAGCCGTGAGTACGGGTCCAGGACGAACGACGATTAGCGAGTCAACCGACCATTTGTGAGCCAATTTTTGGATGAAAATAACGCGACGATTTCCGAAATGGACTACTATCGAGCCCAACTATTATCGAGGGACCACTGTACGAATATACAGTAGGATCCCCGTATCCATGGGGGATATCCATTCAAAGGACCTGCCATGGATACCGAAACTGTGGATAGTAGCAAACCCTATATACCTATTATAAAGTTTAATTGATAAACTTCTCCATGGGGAAGTGGAACAAAATTCTTCCTCTGTAAGCCATGCGTGTTGTAAGAGGTGACTAAAATGCCAGGAGCAAGGGGCTGGTGACCCCTTCTCCTATATACATTATAAAATTTAAAAAGAAAAAACTTTAGTTTTTCTTTTTAGGTCACCCTGCCTTGGTGGGATATGGCTAGTTCGTTATAAAAAAAAAATTGATGGGAAGCACTTCACAGCTTCTCTTAGGCTTTGAAGAACTGCCAGCTTCTCTACTTTCGTGCTTTGGGGTCATTATTAAGCAAGATTAAGAGGTATTTTTGAGCCACAGTAAACCGTGTATAACTGAAACCCCGGATACAAAATCAGTGGATACGGGGGTTCTACTGTAATTGAAAAGCACCATATTAACAAAGCACTATAAAGCAAGAGCTGTATTAATAAGGGATAGATGTACTCTTATAAATGAATCACCAAGAAGCATACAGTAAGGTGCATTTACAGGGATAGGCTCATCTTCCTGGCAAGCAGAAACAAGAATTCAAGTCTTCATGCATAGCAGATACGAAGGCAGTTCAAAAGTTACCCTCTACAGCCTTCGTCTCTCTCTGGCACAAGAAACCCCAGCCAAGCTGCTCCATGATATATAAGTTGCTCATACTTCCCTACTCAGAACAGATGACTGCCCATGAGGGACAAAGGGGGTGAAATTTCTGAGTAGCTGGCTGCATATTAGTGACCAACAGGTATCTACTACTACTGACAGTGGCTCTACCTAATCTAACATGCAGTGCCACCAGCACCTGCTAGTGGGAATTCACTAAAGGACAGGTAAGCAGCAACAGTTTTTTGCCCCTCACAAGTCATTTCACTTACAAGAGAACTTGTGGTTTCATCCTTCGTCTGATAAATCCAAGCAGGTCATTTAGTACAAGGACTGGCAGTGGCTCAATTCTCCATCTAATTCATGAGACAGACACATTATATCACTTGACTATACCATTAGAATGTATACTGTTGTCTAATATGCTCGATTAGTATTTTATTTTCAAGATAACCAAGTAGCATATAGTGACACTTCGACAGCACTGTATTACATTATTAAGAATGAAAATGTGCACATAAATGCCAGTGAATAATTATGTGACAAAGTATCGAATTGTTTTTTGTGCATAGTACTGACAAAATCTGAAATAAATGTACTTTTATTTGTTTTGGTTCTTTATCCTGTTCATTATTGTATTTTTTTTTAACACGTTGGCCAACGTGTTGGGAGAAGGGGTTAACTATTTTTATTATCATAATATCCATGGAGGTTAAAAGAGAGTGTGCTGAATCTGTAGGGAAAATAGAAGGCAATCAGATTTGGTACAAAAAAAAAAGGAGCACAGGTCCAATAACTTTAAAAGAATCAAGAGGATTTATGCTGATTAAATAAGAGATTTAACTCATTTAAATAAATTGTTATGCATCACGTTTCATACATAATATTCGCATACTGCATTTCATTAGTGATTTAATTGATGATGTTTATCAATCAACAAATATTTTACCTTAATTCAAGAATATTAAGTAAACTAGCCTCAACTACAGCAATAATCAACAACCATTTATGTATATATCACCTTGTATAAAATTCCTTATGACTGTTTTAGTACTTTAGCATATAATTATATTCCGTTGAATATTACACAAGACTTCTAAACAAATTAGAGTTCTCTGAGATTTTTATTAAGGCACTGCAAGCTATAGGTATAAAATTTTCTAGAAAGTCCTATGAGAAGTTTCAGGAATGAGGAAAATCTGTTTCATAATCCATTACTAACTTGTCCACCCAAAGTGAAACAGACATTAAATCCCAAAGTTCTCTTTAAAGATAGACTGCATGAATAAACAAAGATGGACAGGAGGGTGTGAACTGCGGTTCATAAATTAACAGCCTGATGCTCTACCAATTGTTTATTATGACTTAATCAGAGTTCAAAGACTAAATTTTCCATATTTTTTTAATTAATATATTTACATGCACTGAATGAACATCAAAGGCACTCAATGCCTTGGGGTAAAAATTATTATTATAATCAAAAGAAGCGCTAAACCACAATGGCTATATAGCACTGCAGGGCAGGGAAGGAAGTGAGGGTATTGGGTGGCAAAAGGGAGAGGGATGATGAGTAGGGTACAGAGAACAGCGGGGCAGTGGATGGTGCAGGGGTAGAGGGTAGCAAGAGATTGAGGTAGAAAGGGCTGAGGGGAGTGCTAAAGGTATCATCATCAGAGTTTGTGGAGTAAATCAGTTGTTGTCAAAAAGTCAATGAGTCCAGATTACAGGAGGGTCCATCAGCAAGAAGGGAAGGTAAAGAGAGAGCAGCAGAGTGGAGACGACGTTGGAGGTAAATTCTGTGGGCAGTCTAACAGAATGTGGCTAACCAATACTGGAACCTGACAATTCTCACAGAGAGGAACAGGGCTCCTCTCCATGAGATACCCATGAGTAAGATGAGTGTGGCCAATGCGAAGACGGGAGAGAGTAGTCTCCCAACCTCGACACTGATGACAAGAAGACGGCCAGTAACCTATACTCGGTTTAATAGAATGAAGTTTGTTATTGAGCAGATCAGACCAATGTTGTTGTCAATGGGCGTGAAGGTGGTTAGCTATTACAGTACTGCTGACTGCACAGCAGTGTTTGCCTGTTCATTGCCCTGTACGTCAACATGACCAGGGACCCAACAAAAAACAATATCTTTATGCTTCGTAAAGATACGGCGTAACCAAAGTTGGATATGGAGAACTAGGGGGTGAGGTGTATCAAATTTTCGTATAGTCTGTAAAGCACTAAGGGAGTCTGAAACAACCACAAATGATGACACAGGCATAGATGCAATATAGATAAGTGCTGAAAGAATGGCATACAATTCAGCAGTAAAACCATATGTTCTAATCTCGCCAATAAAATCCCACGTACCAATGCCCATGCCGGGGACTACCTAGATGGGAATTTCCCAAATTCCTTCTATCTTGCTCCAACTGAGTCCACGGAAGTCACCGAGATTATAAAGTCAATTAAAAATAACTCAGGGAATCTGTCTCATGTCCCACCATTATTATACAAGAGAGTGGCCCATGTCCTCTCGCATACTATCTCATTGCTTTTTAACAAGTCACTAGAAGCTAGCACCTTCCCGAAACTACTCAAGACGGCAAGGGTTACACCAATACATAAAGGTGGTGACTCTACAGATTTAAACAACTATAGGCCAATATCAAACTTACCATTGCTATCCAAAATCTTTGAGAAACTCGTGCACAGGAGACTATATTCATTTATAACGTCGCAAAACATACTCAACCCCTACCAATTTGGATTCAGGAAAAATAAAAGCACTAACGATGCAATTATAAAAATGCTAGATCTGCTTTACACAGCATTGGAAAATAAGGAATATCCACTAGGAATTTTTATTGACCTAAGAAAAGCTTTTGACACAGTAGACCACGGCATCCTACTCCACAAACTTGACCATTATGGTATAAGAGGCCATGCGCTTGCATATTTCAAATCTTACCTTACTAATAGGTATCAGTATGTCACCATTAAAGACACAGCATCAACAACACAGCCACTTAATACTGGAGTTCCGCAGGGAAGTGTCCTTGGTCCCCTGCTCTTCCTCATATACATCAATGATCTTCCAAACGTATCTCGACACCTGAACCCCATTCTCTTTGCTGACGACACGACTTATGTCATCTCTCACCCTAATCTTGCAACCCTCAACACCATTGTTAATGAGGAGCTGATCAAAATATCGACTTGGATGACAGCCAATAAACTTAAGCTTAACGTTGACAAAACCTACTACATTATGTTTGGTAGCAGAGCAGGAGATGCGCAAATTAATATTAAGATCGACAACACTCTAATTACCAGGCATAATGAGGGCAAATTCCTAGGCCTATTCCTCGACAACAACCTGAACTTCAGCACCCATATCCAACACATAACCAAAAAAGTATCCAAAACGGTTGGGATCCTCTTCAAGATATGATACTACGTGCTGCAAACTGCCCTTCTCACACTATACCATTCACTTATATATCCATACCTCACCTATGCTATCTGTGCTTGGGGTTCAACTGCAGCAACACACCTAAAGCCAATAATAACCCAACAAAAAGCCGCAGTAAGAATAATCACTAAATCCCATCCCTGGCAACACACCCCCTCACTCTTCATAGATCTAAACTTACTCCCTTTTCAGTACATCCACACTTACTACTGTGCAATCTACATCTACAGGACCTTAAATTCCAATATTAACCTTGACCTAAAATGCTTTCTTGATAGTTGTGACAGAACCCACAGGCACAACACCAGACACAAACATCTCTATGACATTCCCCGTGTCCGACTAAAACCTTTACAAAAATTCAATGTATGTCAAAGGCCCTAAAATCTGGAACACCCTACCTGAAAATTCCAAAACTGCAGACACATTCATCACCTTCAAAACTACCATCAGAAAACATCTTATCTCCCTGATACACCCTGTCAACTAATAATACGAATACCACCTGGTGGTTCACACTTACACTCACTCACCCATTTGACCATAAACAGAAATATCAATCTCAATCTCAAAATAATGAATCTTAACTAGTCAAAAGTTGGCCTGTGATACTCCAATACTGAAACTATGTATAGTGCCAAAACAAAAGCATTCACATTGCTAAACTCACAACTAGTATTTAGTCAGCCATAATACCAACTTATCTCATAATTCTGTAACATTTTAAACCTAAGATTTAATATAAGTCTGCCCGAAATGCCTAGCCATGCTAGGCGTTCTAGTGGTACACTCTGTAATTATTATTTTACTACATGTAAACCACACAATAACCAAATTCTGTAAACTCAGCATTGTAATACTTATAGAGAATATAAATGCTAGCCGAGGATAGTAAATGCCCTCGCACAACACTGTCTGGAAACAATGCTGCGAATCCAACATTGTCAGAAGACTTAGAGCCATCTGTGTACATTGTGATGGCATGAGAATGAGAGCGGAAGTGGTCAAGAAAAAGAGAGCGGGAAGCTACCGTAGGCAGTTGGGCTTTCGAGCAAGGGAGTGAGAAAGAACAGACTCAAACAGCTAGAACTTCCCAGGGGCATAGGGAAAAGTTAGATGCTACATGAACATATAAAGGTGGTAACTGAAGGGAAGATGAGCAAATGTAGGCAAAGAGAAAAGGGACGGAGCAAACGGGCGACAAACAAATAAAGAATGTCTACTAACATCGGTTACTATTCTATACATGGAAGGATTGTGGAGAACATAAGATTGAACATAGTAGGAATGCAATGGGTATCATGGCAGTCGGACAAAGATGGAATATTCGCCTCTGCATAGTCTCTCAACAGGGGAAGAGCGAAAAGCACCAAGGCATAAATGTAATCCCTGGTGATGGATGGGATTAAGGCTAGAGAGAGTAGCAGGAGAGGCAGCTGAATAGATCTGGTCACCATAATCGAGTTTCGATAAAATGAGGGCTGAATGTAGGCGAAGGAGAGTTCGACGATCAGCTCCCCATGAAAGATGAGCAAGGGTTTTAAGAAGGTTAAGCCGGCTGTGACAAGTTGCCTTCAGAAAGGTAATGCGAGGTTTCCAGGATAACCTACGGTCAAAGAGAAGGCCTAGAAACCTGACTGTATCATGTTCAGGGATATGTGAGCCATAGAGGTACAAAGGATGATGGGAGATGATAGAGCGTCTAGTGAAAGTACATGACTTCTTGACAACGACTGATTTACTAAACAAACTCTGATGATGATACCTTACGCACTCCCCTCAGCCCTTTCTAGCTCAGTCTCTTGCTGCCCTTTACCCTTTCACCATCCACTGCTCCGCTGTTATCCGTAACCTATTACTCATCCACCTCCCTTTTGCCACCTGATGATGCCCTCGCTTCCTTCCTGCCCTGCAGCGCTGTATAGCCCTTGTGGCTTAGCGCTTCTTTTTGATTATAATAATAATAGTGAAAGTACATAATTTCGTGAGTTTTAGTACTGGAAAATTTAAACCCATGCGTGGTGGCCCAATTGGAAACACAGTTAACCGCATGCTGGAGAGAAACTGTATTGAGGTGATAGTCAGCGCCTGCACAAGCAATAGCGAAGTCATCAACATAGAGTGATGACCAAATATT